CCCTTAGGGTTTCTACCTCCTACCAAAAATGAAACCCTAACTAGGATAGAGGAAATAAGAGAAAGAAAGAGAGGGCCAAATCAAGGTGTAGAGAATAGACCCGCATAGAGAGTATTTATACGATAGAGACTAGGGTTTTGGGGTCTAGAGTTTTGCCATCATTATGAGACTCAATCTTGACCTTTGATCATGGAAACCTGTGGGGTGAAGAGATCTCAACCATTCATTCACTAAATCAGTCATCATGATCAAAAGGAATGAGGTGGAACCATTATCCCTCAGTTTGCATAACTCTATTCCTATGAAAAATTGTGTAGCGAAAATATTATGTTTTTGAAAATAAATTTTCAATCAATCTCTACACTTGCTTATTTAAAATTAATCAAATCCATATCATAACACTTTCCTTTAATTTTAAAACAAGTGGGTGGCTTTCATCAAAAAAAGAGGGAAAGGGGCACCCCACACATGGAGGGCCATGTGGGCCCCATGCCCCTCTCTAGTAGGCTTATATATGGTGGGCCCAAAGCCCCAATGAGCCCCCATACCCAAAATTTAAATTTAAACTAATAAAAACAATTTTATAAAACCAGTAATTATTTTATTTTCCACTCTGAATTAAATAAATCCAGAAAATTGATTTTTTTACTTAAAAGTCCTTTTTCAACAAATTCAAATATCCAGAAAGGTCTAAAAAATCATTTTAATTATCTAAAATATAATTAAACATATTTCAAAAGATTTGATAGAACTTGGATCCAAAGAGTTAGGAATATAACAATATACTGAGGACTCCATCCTTTCTAAAAACCACACCTCACTGCATCTTCTCAAACTGACTCATAGTTCCCATGACCCACAGCCCTTCACAGAGGTTCATGATTGGACTATCAAAGTCAGCCAATAAATGAAGGAGACACGAACCTAGTCCATGGATTACAGGTCCTTCCTTGAGGGCAAGTCCAGACCCCATTCTTAGCACGATACCACATGGGTCCTTGTCCTTCCAAGTTCCAACACAGTCTAGTCTTGCAGTAAGTCATCTGTTAGGCACATGTACAGAACAAACCCTCATCCAAAGGGCTTCTTCCTGAACGATTATCTATTGTACATGCCGTGTGATGGTAATTATGAGGATTTCGGCCCTTGTCTTATCCGACCAACCATCACACACAAGGGTCACACCCAATCCCCTGACCAACCACTCTAGGCACAACTCCAACCTCATCAAGAGATAACCCCACATCGAAACCCTTATCGGTTGTGCACAAATGCCTAAGGTTACAGGTTTTCGATATCAATTTGAGCCATAGCCAGCCAAAGCTCAGGTGAGTCAAGGCATTAGCAATGCCTAATTGTCCAAACTGGACCACACTCCCACTAGAGCCAACATTTTATTATAAATAATTTATGTACATGTTGTCATAAGGCCTTTAAATGGCCACAAATTTCCAATATCCATAAGTTAAATCATCAATATCAAAGCCTTTTTCCACCTATTTGGAGTCGATTATAACTATATAGTTAAAGGGTGCGGTTTGTATAGAGCCTAGGCTCTAAACAATCAAATTAGAGCCTACCTTCAAATAGTATCGAGAAATGTGGTTTCAATACTGAGAATATTTGTAATAGCCTTAAAATTTATTTTCATCTTTATTTATAAAGCTTAAAGCTTAAAAAACAGTGTGGATCGATAGATCTATGAAAGCTTTAAATCTTGAAAATTGACGGTCCAAAAATGCGTTACAAAATACACCATTTCCAAAAGTTGAAATCCATTTTTTTCTCATGTCCATGCATCTTGATGTCAAGATGATCAATTTGAGGATATTTGGGTATCAAAACAACCTCTTCTAGTGAAATTTTTGAGGTAGGCTCAAATTTGATTGTTTAGAGCCTTGGCTCTATATTAGTTAAATGATATAAACTATATACCATAAAAGATATAAAATAAATTATTTAATTTTTTTATTTCTAGGCCTAGACGCGACCTGACCTAGTGGATTGGTTTGGGTCCAAATGACTTGGACCCGACCTGGGCCTAGGTCCAAGTTAGACCTAGTCAGATCAAGTCCTGGTCGAGGTCGAACCGTACCCAACCTGTTGCCACCCCTATTTCGACCATTTGATTATAAACCTTCGTTATCATAAGATCTCATCTTTTCTAAGGACTAACTGAGGTCTAATTTGTCTTTGGTCCTAAGCTCTCTCTCTATTTGGGAAAGTAGAAATCTCTTCTAGGGAATCAAACTCTTCGATTTGAGCTAAGATTTCCCTCTTAATGTGTTTGAAATTTCCCTCTTAATGTGTTCAAAAACTCCTTCTCTATTTGGACGCATTGCAAGTTTTATCATCCCTCTAAGTAAAGAAATTACGTAATGGGAAATTAGAAATCAGTTCACCTTTGCAACTTTGTAGGGAGTGAAGGAAAGAGAGCTTAGCACGAGTTTTTAGGTTTTTATAGTTAGCTACTTAGCTTACAAGGACAATCTTCACGTTATTGATCACTTCAGCATAGATTATGCATAGCATTAGCCAAGTTGTGTGATCTACTTAGGGCAGCAGAAGAAATAGTGAACAGCCTATTTGTTCATTTTAACTACGGTTAGATGGTGTAATCAAGTATTCCTAATTTACCATTATATCTCTTGTTGCAGTAAGGCTTAGTAGGAATTGACTGTAATGAGAGGGGCACCGGCACACATTGTAATGGCATGTCTTTTACAACTAAGCAATGTTGTTAAGATCAGAATGGTGGTTGACCTGGTGAGGACACCTCTCTGGAGGACTGGTTCACTGGTCATAACGATCAAATAAATTTAAAATAAAAAAGGAAAAACACAAAAAGATTTAAAAATAGAGAAAATTATGGAAAAAATAAAAAAAATCTTAGAAAATAATAGAAGTTTCAGAAAATTATTAGAAACAAAAAATAAAATCATAACACAAAATTATAACTAGGGAACAATCCTCCTATATGAACACTTTCCATATTTCAATTGAAGCATTAAACAACCCAAAATAAAAATAAGACAAATAACCAGGTTCAAAAAAAAAAATATTAAGACATTTGTGTCTATTGGTTGGTTCCTGTACTCAAAGTTTCTTGAAGGCCTAATATGTTTTGGTTTCATGCTTGAAGTGTAAGGCATAAAAAGTTCTCAAGAAGTAAACCTCGTCAAATTTTATGTTAGTTATTTAAGAACAAATAAGACAAAAAATAAGTTATGAAATAAGAAATCAATATGAGTATTCAATTCATGCAATTCACAACCAAATTTTCTAAGATATTAATAAACTGAACACCGATGACAAGATTCCACCAAAAAAGATAGTCGCATCAAAATTTGGCTAGTAAATCTCGAGGGTGACATAAGGACTACAATGGAGCAACCCTTAAGTATCATGTCAATCTCCTTGGTATTATACTATCAAATGTCACATTTGGAGTGAAATTTCCACCGTAAATTTTCTCGACTTGAGGGATAGTTAAGGGCACTATTTCCTTCTATATAGGCATTATTAACCATCAAGAAGTCAATATTCTAACAATCGCTATAAAAGTACAAACCTATGCAATTCAGAAGAAATTGGCAATTGTAACCATAACCATCATAGCAACATCTAAACAGGCCCATGCATCAAATTGCTCTAAGAAATAGGCACCAGAATTTAGCAACAACATCAAAAGAAATATAAGCTCTATGGAGCTTCAAGGAGTTACTATCAACAATGATAAACTCTATGGAGCAATTTAACGCATAAATAGCAACAACATTCCAAAAGATGCCAAATATATGGGCTGACAGGAGGTCAATAATGATTCTCATGGTGATATTTATATAGACCGACAACATTAAAAAAACACAGATAAGTCACTTCTAATGGATGCAACAGAGAGCTACAATGTGGAATACAAACATTGTGCTACTGGACCTAGATCCTAAGGATCGACTAGAAATGTATAAAGAAAATATAAAGTTTGTTTATCATTGTAGTTGTATCTGTAATAAATGGAGTCAAACTTGATTTTGAAAGTCATAGTTACAAGGTAATTATGCGGGTACTAGGACTTGTATTGATACTGACAAGCTAGTTCCTAAAATGTTCCAAGTATGTTGGATTCGAATAAAATTCAGGACTGGTTTCTAAGAACCTGGTGCTGATATTCTATGAAATTAGTGCATGTTTTTTGTTTGGGTTCGATAAAGTGGAATTCAAACCTGGGTTATAGGACTGCAATCATCAATACTATAATCAAAATAGGAATACAAACATCAACACTTCCATATGAAAAAAGCAAAATTTACCAACTCAGAGATGAACCTAACTAACATTATGATACAATAAAGTGGTTTAATTGTGACCAAAGAGCCAAGGAGATCAGCTACCAACTGTATGTTTCAAACGAAATTCGCATCAAAGGTAGAACAACAAAAGTACGTCTCTATAACGAGTTAACGACTTCTACCATGTTTAAGGTTTTGATTTCCAACTCTATTAAGATCCCAGGATAGGTGAATAAAAGAGCAAAGGAGATCAGCTACCAACTGTATGTTTCAAACGAAATTCGCATCAAAGGTAGAACAACAAAAGTACGTCTCTATAACGAGTTAACGACTTCTACCATGTTTAAGGTTTTGATTTCCAACTCTATTAAGATCCCAGGATAGGTGAATAAAACTCGCATAGTGTTCAAGCACTAGGACCAATATCTCTAGCATCTAGAATTCAAAGAAATGCAGTTCAACAAGCGAGATGTAGAATAGCTAATGGGGAAAGAACAATATGAGTTAGGACTGAGACATGCAACAGAAATGCAAACTACAAGAAGCAAAAACAATCAGAGGATGCTATAGCCCAACTCAAAGATTTTTTGGAAAAATGCAACAAAAAACTGGGGAAAAACACAAACAAGAACAACATTCATTCTAACAATAAGAAAGAATACGAGCAAAAAAAAGGCAAGAAGAAGAAGAATCATAGGAACAAGCCAATACCTTGACGGGTCTCCATGAGCTGCAAGCCAAGGCTCTACAACAGATGCCCCAAATGTGTCCACAATGTGCCTATGAGCATCAGCCTTTCGGAGTTCAGCACGTGGATTCCCTAAAGACTTGTTACACTCTGCAAGATTAGCCTGTTTCGCCAACCAATGCAAAACTTTCACCCCATCATCAAAAGCAGCAGGGTACCTATTCTCCGGTGCTAATCGATAACCTACTGCAATCACAATTGCATCACATAGCTTTGCAATTCTCCGACAAAACACATCATTCGAAGCTGAATCCTTGCTTCCTGCCACAAACCCACCTCCATGAAACTGCATAATAATTGGAAGCTTTCGGCTTGAAACTGATATTAGATCTCTTGGCAAATATCCTCTATACAAACCCCCTTCTCCATCTTGTCTCTTCTCTTTTCCAACTGGATCAACGCCTGATCTCTTTGGAATCGATGAATCGAGATTGTAATTCAATTTTTTGGATTCAAATCTGGATTGAGAAACACCAAATTCTCGCCGTTGGCCGTCGTCTGAGTACAAAGAATTCGCGGATGAATCAGATCTCGGGCTCATGAATGCATCACCATTTGCCAAAGCCGAATCGAGATTGGCTTTTCTTGCTGATTCTAAATCAGCAGAGCCATAGCTGCTCCTCCGATTGACCTGTAAAGCCATGGGCCTGGAGGCCCCTCCTCCTCCTCCATAGCTGCTCCTTCTCGTCTCCGAGTTGGAGGATCTGGGTTCAACGACAGGAGAGAGAGATGAGTCAGGGAGGAAGATGCGGATAGAGAGAGAAGTGAAGGGGTCGATATGAATGTCTTTGGTGGCGACGCCATCGGTGAAGGAAGCGTTCGCCGGCGCAACGCTCTCCCCCGGTCGGGAGGTAACCCCAAAGGAGGCGTCTTCGTGGGGCAGGTGGAGGCTGTTGTTCTGGAGTCTGTGCTTCAATAAGAATTTGAAGAAGACGCTGTAGAGTTTCACAGCAACGCTAGGCATGCCTCTCTCTCTTTCTCCCTCTACCTGGAGGAAAGATCAGGGGCCCCTTGTACCAGATGCATTGATGGAACTGCAGAAACAGAGACTTGGGTTTGAGAGAGAAAAAGAGAGGATTGAGATGGCAGGTAGATGGAAAGGTTTTTGAATTTGGAAGGTGGAAGGGGAGAAGGGGTCTAAATTCACGGAAGATGAGAGGGAGCAAGGGCAGAGGATGAAAAATGAACTTATCATCTGTGTATAATGCAACGCCCAAAGATTTAGAGAGAGAGTAACGGATAAATATTTAACAGAGAATAGGGATTAGAGCGACAAAGTGGGGTAAAACGTAAATGGTATGCATCACAAAACAATCTTTTCATCCGATATTTGCCACCGACACAGAGAGCTACTTTTACGTGTTTGCGCGTGCCACTTGACAGCACATCGGATTTTGGGCGTCTTAAAGGAAATTTGTTTCATGCGGGCTGGACCGCATTTCTACATACGCGGTCCAGAAAGTGAAAGTGTAAAGTTAAGATGTATGCAAGTACGTGTTTTATCTAAAAATAATGGAAACTAGCCGTCTAAATGTTTTTTTATTTGAATTATTATTTTTAACTTTTAAAATTTATGTATTTTTCATATTTATGATTTTCATATTAAAGATTATATATCTTTAAAAATTAAGTCTTGAAATCTATCTAAAAAGTAAATTTATTATACGCGGTTGCATAGAAATCGGGTCCCTTTTCAAACAAATGCTCTTTTTCTCTCTCTAAGTGTTTTTTTTTTTTTCCAAAAATTACAAAGAACCCCAAAGAAGAGATTTCTTATACAATTTACTCCAACTAAACTTTTTTTTCTATTTTTTGTCCCAAAATATACTTTCCTAACAAATACTATCAAACAAAAAAAAGACTAAATTACCTTTCTTTACTTCTACCCATGCCTCTCTCTCCTCTAGTCTAAAGCGCACTCCGGTAAATATACATAGCGGTCTGGCACTATTCTTTCTAGATAAACATGCAGTCCGGCAAATGTACATTGCAATTTAGCACTTTTTTCCTGGATAAAATACGGTATGGCAGATCCCTATGGTGGTCCGGCACTTTTGTTACTGGACAAACATGCGATCCAGCAAATCTATATGGTGGTCTGGCACTTTTATATATGGGGTCCGACAGATCTATATATGTGGTTCGGCAGATCTGTATGCAGTCATACAGATAATGAAGGTGGTCCAACATTTTTCTTAGTTTAATAGGGTCCAACAATTGGTACATCGTAGTCTGGCAACCCATGTAGCTTTTGGTACTGTGCATAAGCCCACGTGAATATTCGATCAAAATTTATTTTTTATGTACAAAAAAGGGTATTTTCAACAAAAAAAAATGCACATTTTTCTACTTGGGGGGTATTTGCTAGGAAATTATATTTTGGGTTAAAACGTGGAAAAACAAGTTTGGTTGGAGGTAAGTTGCATAAGAAGTCTATTATTAACGGTTTTGTAATTTTCTGTCCCTTCTTTTGTTTTTTTGTTATAAGGCCAGCGAACTTTTATTACTTAAAGAGATAATAACATCAGCATTATACTTCAGAAGTAGAAGTAAAAATGATAGGAGGATGATGAGCATTATCTTTAGCTAAAGAATATGCTTTATCATTAGATTCTCGATATACATGTTGAAATAAATAACTCAATGTCAATAAATGTCAAGAATTTTTTTCTATCAATCTCTCAGATTCCACTGTGGTCCCCCAATTCGATTGTACCAATTGGTAACATTTAAGACATCCCCTTCCACCACCCAACATAAATCAACACATTTGTTCTTCAAAAATTTTAAGCCTCCTAAGAGAGTCATGATTTCAGCTTTATTAGCAATCGCTTCCTCACAAGGTCTTGGAAAAAAAAAGGTATCTCGCCATCTCAATTTGAGACTATCCCTCCAACTCTTGCTGTTCCCGAGTTTCCAAAAGAACTTCTATCAAAATTCAACTTCACACTTCCATGTACGGGTGGAGACCATCAACCACACGGCTTAACTTTCAAGAAATTTTTGCAAAACTAAATTTTTAAGATTTAACAAGACATCGTCTTTGGATACTCCATATCCTTCCTTCATATTAGAATACCATAACCAAACATCATGAAGAATTCTCTCCTTTATTCTAATCATATCATAACCATTCCCATCAATCTATTTCTTTCCAACCAAACTTCCCATAGCAAAGAACCTCGGATAATATTCCAAATGACCAAACCTTTCTTTGGCTAGATAATTAAACTAAGTTGCTGCACAATGTCCATATGTCGTGCAGGCAAAGGCACTACACATCCCACTAAATTCATTGCTCATAGCCACTACAGATATGTTATAGGACAATGCAAAAAAAAGTGATCTCATGTTTCATCATCCCCTTTTCATATAATACAAATGTTAACAATCACCTTGCCTCATAACCTCAAATTATCTACAATTAGTTCTTTATCTAAACCTTATGAGGGATCTTCCACTTCCAAATCTTGTTAAGTTCAAGCGAAGATCATCGAACACGATCATTAAAAATTAGCCGATATGCAAATTTAATTGAAAAGAGATCATCATTAGATAGTTCCCAAATAACTTCATCTTTCTGACACATAAACTTCCTTTAGCTCTTTCATCAAGTTCATGAATTGCGAGATTAGTACATCTGGAATTCTACTATAGGGAAATTGCAAATTCCTAACTCCCCCCATGACCATCTTGGTTAAAAGCATCACATACCTTCAAATTCTGAGAAATACATCTATCAAAAAGTTCTTCATATAGTATTTTAAGTGATCCATCCCCAGCCATCTAGAAGACCAAAAGTTAACTCATTCGTCATTACCAATCACTCATCTAATATTTCTCAACACTATTTCCCCAATAGCAAATATTCATTTCCAAGTTTGTGATTGGTAACAACCTCCTCTACCTTTCTTAATGTAACCATAATTATCCGCCCTATACATCGCAACAAAGCACCTCCTTCTATAGCTGATCATCATTACCTATAAATCTCCACCACCATTTAACTAATACGGCTTGATTAACACTCTTTAGATTCCTAATACCAAAACCCCTTTCTAATTTTGGAGTGCAAAACTTTCTCCCAACTAACTAAATGATACTTCTTTTCCACATCCAAGGAGCCCAATAGAAAATTATGCATAAGCTTCTTGTTTCTTTTATCTCTGGTTCAGGCATGTGAAGGAAAGACATTAAAAATATAGGCATATTAGCTAAAGATGATTTGATTGAGGTAACTCTACTTCCTAGTGATAGGAACTTAGTCTTCCAAAGATCAAGCTTCACATGAATTCTTTTCAACACAGGATCCCAGATAGAGCGTGGTAATTTTGTATCCAAAATAGCAATACCAAGGTATTTTATGGGAAAATAATTCACAACACATCCTACCACCCGAGCCAAAGCATGCACAACATCATCCCCACAACCAATCCCACACCATAGAGGCTTTAAAAAAATTTACTTTTAGACCCAAAGTAAACTCGGAACACCTCAAAAAGTTTTAAATAGCATGTACCTGATGAAGGTCAGCCCCACAAAAAATGATTGTGTCATTAGTATATTGTAAATGTGAAATTACAAGTATGTTTTCAACAATTTGAAAGCCATTAAACCATCCCCTACTCACCACATTTTTCAGCATCAAACTAAAGCACTCTGCCCTTAAGGTAAAGAATAAAAGCGATAAAGGATCCCCTTGTATCAGTCCCCTAGATGCCTTAAAAAAACCCTTCGGACAACCATTTATCAAAATTGAGAATATGCTGAGGAGAGACATCCCATAATCCATCCACTCCCCTTATGTCCAAAGCCCATGGTTCTCATAATTTCACCCAAAACCTACCACTCCATCATGTCATACGCCTTTTCTAGATCTAATTTCATATGAATACGCGGTTGCCTACTTAAGGCTCTTGAGTGTAAACATTCTTGAGCAATAAGTATACTATATGTGATAATTCTCTCCTTAACAAAGGTAGATTGAGGACTAAAAATCACATCAAGAAACACATATTTTAACGTGTTAGCATGGACTTTTGCAATAATTTTGTTTAAACTCGTAAGGAGACTAATTGGGCATAGGTCATTCAAACCTATTATTGAATCTCTCTTAGGAATTAATACAATAAAAGTAGAATTGATGTTTTTGTCTATTATTCAACGCTCTCATAATTCCCACACCATATCCCATGCTCCCAAAATTCCCACACCATATTAAAAAAACAAAATTTACGTATGGATCACATTTAAGATCCATTATAACGAAATTGTCCAAAATTTTGTTGTTATTACTCAAAAGGACATAATCCCAATTCTTTTGGACGTGTTTGATAAGTGAAAGTTTCTAGAGGTGGAGTTAAATGTCCCATTTCAATGTTTGATATTACAGTGTGGAAGCTGTAAAGTAGAAAGACGACCTTCCATACAACCTTTTTTTAGTGTTAAAATGAGTTCATTTTTGTAAGACCTATCTTTCATAAAAAAATGATGGAAGAGCGGTCTTCTATAATTTATGGGAGAGTCCCCTTCCCCTCCCGAATACTAGATGTGTCAAACACACCTTTTGTTTTTTGAAAGGTCCGCCCCTGTCTGATTCTTAACCTTAGCTATTAACCGTTTTTTTAATGCATCTCTTTTTTTTGGACGGAAACACAATGCCAACGGTGGTGAATCCATCTCTCTGTCACTCTCTCTCTAAACCAAGAATCTAGAAAAGCTAATTTTTGTTTGAAGTGTAATCTAGAGAGAGAGATTTTTATGGATTGTTTGTTGCAGGGGTGTGAGGCATCGGTTTTGCTTGATGAGGCACTGGATGGTGGGCCTCGGAGAAAGAATCGTGTCCGAACAAAGGCTCACTCAAGGGCCTCGATTTGATAGACATCATTAAGTCCAGCCTTGAAAACTCCTGCCCTGCTACTGTTTCATGCGCAGGTATCATTGTCCTCAGTGCCAAAGACGCCGTTGTCTTGGTCACTTTCTCTCTCTCTCGTGATTCTAATTTTGAGGGCTTCTCTCTCTCTAAATTGGTGCTGGTCACATTGTTGTATCTATGTTTCAGGAAGGTGGAGAAGAAGATTCTAAGTATGATTTGTGGAGCTGACATCTGTGCTTGGTCCCCGTTGCCTGCACCCTTCATGTGGCAAGTCAGCAATGGCGCTCATTTATGGGCACCAGCCATGGGAAGCAACTCCCCAAATACTGAAACAAAAAAGTCAATAAAAACCAAGGAGATTAAAAATTCAACATGGTGGGTTCTTTTT